CTTAAAACCGGCTATTCTCTATGCTTAAAACACTTTCCTCCCTCACCAATGCCTGGTTTCTATCAGTTGAACTTTCCACTATTTTAATGCAGTATTTTTTTTTTAATTTTTTTTTTCAACGTTTATTTATTTTTGGGACAGAGAGAGACAGAGCATGAATGGGGGAGGGGCAGAGAGAGAGGGAGACACAGAATCGGAAACAGGCTCCAGGCTCTGAGCCATCAGCCCAGAGCCTGACGCGGGGCTCGAACTCACGGACCGCGAGATCGTGACCTGGTTGAAGTCGGACGCTTAACCGACTGCGCCACCCAGGCGCCCCTTAATGCAGTATTTTATAACTACTTAGGCTCCCGAAGACCTCTCCACTCCATGGCCTCTTTCTGCAATTATAGATGCATAGTTTGTATAAAGATCTTATATCCCAACCGGAGGATAAACTGAGGTTGATTTCCCCGCTCTTTGATTTTGGGCTGGCCCTGTGACCAGCTCTAGCCCATAAGATGTGGTGGGAACGATGGCTTGCCAGTTCCAAGTGTAGACCTTAAGGGGCCTGCATATTTCCCCTTGCTCTCTTAAAACCTACCAATACGCCACGTGATTACGCGTGGGTTAGGCTGCTGGCAAATGAAAGACCACATGGAGCAGAGAAGAGTCAGTCTAGCTAAGACGCCCTAGACCAGGCAGTTCCTAGTGAATCTAGTACCTGACCTCAAGGTGTGAGCCCACAGAACCTATCCTAATTGCTCATCTGTAGAAACCTGAGTTAAATAAATGATTCTTCTTTTAAGACAAGGCATTTTGGGTGCTTTGTTATGCAGCAAAACACAACGAAATAATTGAAACATATGTAATAGCTTCATCCTTCCAATGTAATGCTCACTACAGACGGACTTATATTAAAATTAAGTATTTGCTGATCACTCCTCTGCTCCTGGAGGTCAGAGACTGTATGATATTCACTTCTGTATTCCCACAGCACCGGGGTTGTGCTCTGTTCACGGTAGGCACTCAGAGTTTGACAAAATAAGCTGAAATGAAAATCAAAGGAAGTTCAAATTCTAATATACATTAGTATTATCTACTGAATGCTTAACAAAAGAAGAAAAACACAAACCAGAGTACTGGTAGAGAATCCAGTCACTACTGAGAATCCGCTATGGACCTTGTATGGTAATTCCCAATGATGAAACATTAAGGGCTGGCAGCTACTAGTACTTGGAGTGCATATGCCACTTCAGGATAGCTAATAAGTGGGCCCTTTAAGTTGTCCTTGTCAAGATCTAACATTAACCCGAAGTTGGACTTTGATAGCGATTCACACACATATTTGAACACATGAATGTGAAGTCATACTGCAATCCTCCTTTTATGGACCTGGGACATTTAGTGGCAAAGGAGATTTTGATTTGCACTGTCTAATTCACATTATCATTAACAGCAGGTTTTCTAAGCCTAGCAGTCTGACAAATGAGATTTGCACATAAATGTACATTAACTATGAAGTGCTGTACGCATATAAAATATCATGAAAGCTTGTGTAGTCAAGATGTCATTTCACTCTTTTCCTTAAGAAGTAGGAGACTGAGAATAGACAGGACAGGTGGGAAAGGATGAATCGTTTTGCTATCCGTATCTAAATTGAGTCCTAATTGAACTTCTATAGCTTTTAAATGACACTGTGCTATTACACTCTATGCAGAGATGATCTCATCAAATATTCTGTGTTTTGATTATTTTAAAATTATTCACTTGACAGTGTCTGAAACACTCTAAAGCAAGGCAACACAAAAGTACGATCAGAATGAACATGCTCATAAAGCAGTGAGGCAGATACAGTCAATGACAGTAAAAGAACACCCTTGCTGCACTGTAACCGTGGTGCTTTGCATGGGTGCACACCCCAGAACTTGCCCTAACTTTAACTTCTTCCTTTAACTTCTGCCATGCCTGCTTAATATTGTTACGTCAGACTCAGAAAGAACATGATGATTAAGTCAGTCACTAAGCTAGAAAACTGAATCAGGATCTAATGAGGTTTAGACCGGTTAGAATGATAAAAATCTGTGTTGTTAACAATGTGAAAGAAACACATAGACCGAAGAGAGTAGAGTCTCCAATCTGTTCCGTAAAATTGCATGTGTGAGGACTCCTTGAGGAGTGGGTCTCAATGCTATACATGTGATAAAGACTCAATTGCTAGCAGAGAGGATGCTCAATAAATCAGGAGAGGAAGCCTGTCCCCGAAATTGTGATGCATTAATAAAAACATAAAGAACCAGAGGGTCAGAGTTCAGGGAGACAGATTTTAGCCAACTTAAGAAATATCTTTCTAGGGGCGCCTGGGTGGCTCAGTCGGTTGAGCGGCCGACGTCGGCTCAGGTCATGATCTCTCGGTCCGTGAGTTCGAGCCCCGCATCGGGCTCTGTGCTGACAGCTCAGAGCCTGGAGCCTGTTTCAGATTCTGTGTCTCCCTCTCTCTGACCCTCCCCTGTTCATGCTCTGTCTCTCACTGTCTCAAAAATAAATAAAACATTAAAAAAATTTAAAAAAAAAGAAATATCTTTCTAATAATCAGGTTGTCATAAGGAGGCCCTTGCTGTCTTGGGGTGGTGAGTCTTCTTCAAGGAGGATACACAGGCACAGTCTGGGTGCTACACATGGTTTCAAGTATCAAGTCAAAGGTTATCCTGCATGATTTTTCAAATGAGCCCCAACCCCCAAATTCCATAATTCTATTATGGGATTCCGAAGGAAACATGCAGAAGGACAACATACTCAAAGGCACTTAATCATGCTTCATTTGAGGTCCAGATATCTCCTTTGGAAACATACTCCCAGGTTTTCTCCTGATAGTTTGAACATCTCCATAGTTCAGAAGAAGTCCCCTTTTAAAAAGATGCTCATTTTAAACAAGTTGTGAGAACAATGAAGATGGACTGCAAAGAGATCAATATTTTCAGAAGAGAACAGGGAGGGATAATTTTTCTCACAATGATTCCACCTACCTGGGGGCTGCTAATAAAGAGCTACAGCCTGAGAGCTGGGGAAGTTTTTCAAATGGTCTAGGTTAGGAAAGTTATTGTTTTAACAGAGACAGACACAACTAGAAATTAGGTGATTGATTCAATAGGAAGAGACATACTCTTGTTCTTAGTAAAATTTAGGAGTTTTGGTTTCTCCTGCTAAAATATCATAAAAGGAAGTCTGAGAACAGAAATGTAACAGCAAGTAGGAACTTAAGCATAAACACCAGTGCTCACTGAGAGCCCACAAATACTTGAGCATTCGTCCCCGGCTCAGATCCACCTTATTTTGGCTGTGTTTTCTAACTTACTCCCTTAGTTAACATTTTCTGTGAACACCAGTTGCTTTCCATAGGGACCAAAAACCACAAACTAGAGAGAATGACCACACTTCCTTCTCATGAATAGTGAGAAAGGAAAAATTTTTTCCTTGGATGTGGCTCTCCAATGAAATTCAGTTTCTGCTTTCCAAGAAAAGCCAATTGGCTCAGAAGTTTCTGAGAAGAAACAAGGGAGAAACAGATAGCACTCCACAAAACCCTAAGGCAAAATCCCAATCTCCCAGTCTCACATCAGCCAAGGGGTTAAAACCTGAATGTCTCAGTTGAGTTGCTGAATCCACAGGTGGAAGGTCATAAGTGTGGAAAGAGATACTCAGCTCCATTTGTGACCATGCTGGGAAAGCCTTTATGTGTACGAGAACCCCCACCTCGGCCCCCAAATATTAAGTTGACACACGTTTCTGGGACGCGGCTTGAATCCTCAAACTTTGGCGGGTCTATAGAGACACAATTTTCTGTTTTCTGCTTAACAGGGCTTTCCAGAATTGTCATCAGATGACAGATTACACCACCCATCCACAAGGATTCAGGGGTAGCTCAGGCCATCCATTATGGGTTAAAAGCTGTTCCAGCATGAATCGAGTCACAGTGGTAAGGAGACTACCAATACAAGGGGTCCTATAGCTTTAAGAAATACTCTGGGCATCTAAAAGTTTTCAGAATGCAAACTATGTCAGCTCTGAAAACAAGAGGCACTGCATCATTATGGCAGGAGAAACAAAGCCAGCCCCCTTTTTAAAACAGACAAAAAAAAAAAAGATTGTTTTAATAGGAGAGAAGCATCAGTCATTGATTCTTACTTCATTCACACTTTCTATCCAACGCCATCCATCTTCAGAGTGAAGAGATGACAGAGCCCGGTTAACTCTCTCCCTCTTTCGGCCCCCGCCCATCCTGTTCCTCTCTACCCAAACCACCGAGGCCTACCAACCTGCCCATTTTGATCTGCAAGCAACAGCCCTAGAGAATGACTCTTTCTAACTGATGGGCTCGCAAAGCTCAGGTATGCCTGACGACTGGCTTTCATCAACACTACTTTAACAGGGTTGCCTGTCAGGTTAGCATGACTGGTCAGGGCCTTTGCTAATCATCTTCTAAAACCACCACTTAGTCACTCTTGGCTGACCACATTCTACAAAGGAGGGGATGGGAAGACTGAAGGCAGCAGGGAAAAAGTCAACAAGCCAAACCAACCATCCAGAATGTAAAATATTTCATTTTTCTTAAATGCTGCTGCCCTCATTATCTACAAACAAAAGTCCCCAGGCAGGCTGTCTCTGCATCAGTGCACCTGCTTAGCATTGGTCTGCGGAGTTATCTTTCTGCTGTGTCTGCAGAAGCCAACTATAGCACAATGGGTCACATCACTTGAGGGTCACTTGAGTCCCTCTACGCTCTGGGTCCCTCCTCCCACCTCCTGCCTTCCCTTCTACCCACAAAACCTTTAACTCCACCATAGCTAAGGATCCCAGATAGCTAAATAAAAGAGGTGGCCTCAAACACAGGGAAAAACCCTTAGGTCTCCAGTGTGAATCGCCAACGCCAATCCCCCTCCCCTCCCCTTTTCCTTAAGACCTGATGGTCTTCAGTCACACATCTTAAAAGAAAAACAAAAAACAAAAACACAAAGACTTACTTGTCTCAAGTCGATGAAGGCCAACTGCAGCGTGTCCTCCTGGAACCCAGGCACCGGGCCGGATCTGGCAAACTCTGTGGGAAAGAAAAGAGGATAAAAAGCGCCTTTAACTAACCATGGACAGGGAGATTGGCAGACGGATGACAGGGAAGACAAGAGAGGCTGGGGGAGAGGAGGACCAAGCTTCTAAGGAGTCATGTCTCTCTCCCTTCAGCTTCTTTGTTTGCCCTTCAAAATTCGTGTCATCAAAACACCATTAATTCCAGCATCCTGACAGCAAGGAAACTGTACTAATTCGACCTGAAATTTATTCCCATGAGCCGCGCTGGGCTTCAGAGTATTTGTTTTGTGAATGGACAAACAACTTGCAAAGGAGGAGGGAGTGGGGGAGAGAAAAAAGTTTTTCCTCTCAACACAATAAAATCTTCAGCTGTGAAACTCTTTTCAGTTCCGAAAGCTATTTATATTTTAGATCGCTGAAGGAATTTTCTAATTTCACGCCTGTCACCTCATTCCCCAAGCATTTATCAAAAAATATTCCCTGCCACATCATTAATTATTCCCTCACTGATTATTTGTATTATCTCATGACTGCATTATTGCCAACACACACACACACACACACACACACACACACACACACACACACGCAGAAGCTGTCCCAACCCACTGCTTGGCTCCTGAGCAAAGGAGTACTTGCAGATATGAAACGCCTACCTAAACAAATCTCATGGCAAAAGCTTACGGAACATTTGCACATATCCATCCTACTAGTGTACTCTTTGTCCTTGACTTCTACTTCTATTCCACTCTCGAAAACTCTTTTTTTTCTCTTCCCTCTACCCCAATTTAGTCTTAGGTCAAAGACACCACATGAATGCTATTTGCAATTTACAGTAGCGCCTTGGGTCCATGCTCAGTTTATGACTCTGGCTTCTACATCGTTAACAAGAAGATAACTGCACGGGCTATAGGGACAGACACTAGTAATAGTTAAGAATGTCAAGTTTTATCGTCCCTAAGCCCTGCTTATTATGAAATCAAAAGGTCTTGTTTAAGCTCCCTACACACACACCCATACCACACACACCACACACAGAGAATGAGAAAATTCAAGAGTTGGACAGTTACTATGTCTTGAATTCTCTCTATAAAGCCAAAGTGTGATGGACATTTAACATCAATCTACCATTTACCTCAAAAACAACTCCAGTATTGGCTCAAAGCAAATACGAAAAGGAATGTTTTCAATTACGTTTTATTCCAGGAACGAATTTAAGAAATTATACAGACTTAGTATCATACTTTTTTTTGAAATTAAATAAAATCCATCAAGCTACCTGCATAAATGCCTGGAAAATTACTTCCAACATCCAGTAGCTGGACAGATTTAAATGATGATTTGTGAACAACTATGGGAATCCCTGTTTTTAAAAAATATTTTCCATCTGGGGCTTCTTAGACAGAATAGGTTTTCATAACATCCTTGCCCCACTTAAAAAAATAATGCTAAACAAAATTGAAAGGGATTATGGAAACATCACATGAAATGAAATTTAACAAAATTTGTTAAACAAAATATAGCACACGTATATTCTACAACTGTACACAAAATATTATTTTAGATATTTCAAAAAAATAACTACTGTAAGTGAAAGGAGATAAACTATAGATAGGATGATTAGCAGCACTGGGTTTCTATTTGCGAGGAAAAGAAAACTCAAATGCTATTTGCAAATTAATTCCATCATATTATAGGCCAAATGATTCAAGTTTCAAAAGAGTAGAATCCTACAACTGTACAAATACTTGAAGAGGGCCATGTTAATGGAAAGCCTGACATACTCCATCCTTCATATCTTACAACAGCCATTATCTGTGCTAACCTTGTATACGCAGCAGCTGCTCAAGTCAGATGTACAACTCGCCCATACTGTGCTCCTACAGAAAGCAGTTCTTTGAATTATAGCCACAGCCACTCTTTTTGACTGCCTTGATTGTCAGTGGTCGGCTTCAATAGGCTTCCCATGCCTGATGGTTTCATCCAAAGTTGCTAGTTTCCCCCCACTGCTCCCGCATGACTCAAGGCTATGTTTCATCACTTGACGTACTAAAGTCCTCTCTGTCAGTAGGAACCTTTCTTGAGTCAAAATATAGCAACTGTCAAGGTGTTCTGCTTACCTACACATGTCCAACTCAATAGAATTACCCCGTGACACAAGGCTGAAATGCTTGAGAGCTGCCTACACATTCTCACCTCTCCTTGTTGAGCATGCTCCCTGGGGCTGACAGATGACACAGACAAAACCACTCAGGAAACCGAGAGTCTCACTTTATAGACCTCATTTTTATGACACACTGAATCTTCCAGGTTCCCAGAGGACATGGTGGCCTTTTAGATTTGCTTTTCCTTTTATAAATCAGGGAATCAAAGAGTGATAATTGCTTCAAAGTATGACAGAGTAAAGAGATTCGTTTTCACATATAGTTTATGGAAATGTCTCATTACTGTATATTCAACTTCATGTTTGTATTTTTTCCTCATTGTTTTACATATATAATCCTTGTCTTCTCATGTAGATAGTAAGCTCCTTAGGGATAAGGACCATATCACTGAACCTAACAAGTATTTAAAATACTAGATATTCAACAAATACTCATATATTAATTAAATAAGTTACAAAAACAGCGAGATTCATTAATCATACATCCTCTTCACTGCCAATGAAAATCTTTAGATTGCAATAGGTAACGTGGCCTTATTAATATGAGTACCAATAAGCAGGTTTTAGGAATGTATGGGCTCCCTAAAATTTGGTGCACAATGATTGAAGAGATGGGTTTTGAGGTCATAAATATCAGAATTTGAGCTTGGATACTAGGTCTACGGGCATAGGCAAATTACTTAATCTCCTTAAAGCTTCAATGTCTTTTTCTCAAAAATGAAGAAAACAGTGCATTCTTTATAGTGCTACCATGAGGATTAAATGAAATAACACACATAGAGCAGTTGGCAGAGGGCCTGGCATATCATAATTGATTATCATTACAATTAGTTTTCTGTGTGAATATACAGTTCTCTGGGAAGAAGCTTCCTAGCTTTCACTGAACTCTCAGAGGGCTGGTGACCAAACAAAAGTTAAGAAACACTGTTACATACCCAGGACAAAACAGGAGAATTTATTCAGCTACCATTCAGTGATGAGTTAGTGAGCTGGCACTGCAAATTTGTTTACAGGCAAATATTTAAGTCTTTCACTTAAATGAAACTGAGATGACTAATTAACAGAATGTTAGCCACAGCAATTTTTATTGGTGTTATTTATGAATTTCAAAAAATGCATAAAACAGATCTCTTGCAATGTTTGGATTCAATATACGCTTAAAAACACGGTTGTTCTCTTCGAGTCAATTGTTTAGATATACAAAAAATGTTAACAGCATAAGAAAGTGTGAATATTTTAAATAAATGAACATTTGTAAGCAGTCTGATTTCAACTCTATAAAATATAATATGCATAGTAAACACTCATTTCATAATGTTAACTGAGGCTGTTGCAGACGGAAAGATTACAAAAGGATTTTCTTCTTTTTTATATTTTATAAACTTTTAAAATGAGTAGAGACCACTTTCATAATCAAAAATAGGAAACAGAACACATGTGCACACGTGCACCAAAATTACCTAGTGGTGCTGATTTAGTAATACTTTCTCTAGTGACAAGGGATAGGACTTATTCAAGATTTAGCATTACAGGCAGCCGGGATTGGTCAGCACACCCAAATTCCCAGATGTTGCTTGACAGAAAGAGAAGAAGAAAACTACAAAAAGCTCCAGTCTGTGTAACAGGCCGATGCATACACAAATTCATTAGATGCACACACAAGAAGCCTCTCTTTAACATCACAAATGGAAACCTTCCTTCTTTGGAAATCATCAAAAGAGGTAAAAGTATGCAATTATGACTGAGTGGAACCAATGTACATATGGGGCACAATGGACAAGACCCTTTCTGGACTTGTCTCTGAGTCCAAGATCTGTAGTAGGTTTTCAGTCTCTAAGTGTTTCCAACACCAAGTGTTTCCAAAGCCTGGGTTCTGTAGTGTAGACGGCATCGCAAGACTATATAAGGTGCTTGCTCTATTTCACAAAGACCCAAACCCAACATTTGGCCAGCATGTGTTACTTAGGGACTGAGTCAAGGTTCCAGTGAGGCTGGCAAGAAACCTTCCTCTTCAAAAATGTGTTCAGATTAGTAGAGCCTACCAGTGATGCATTTTCCAGAGAGCTCTGGCTCTCCCCAGCAGCTCTTTCCTGCCCTTGTACCATCATGGTAGGGACTTCAGAGTTGAAGCTGGTATCAGGGCTTCACTCCAAGACCCAATTTGCAAATGTGAAAAATCTTGTAATGAGGAAACTGCCAACTCATCAAAGTTTACGAAGGAAATATTTTCATTTAAGAAAATAAAAAGGAGGTATAAAAGTTACAGAAAACAAGGCATATTATTAAGTGAAGGCATAAACGGGGAAATAACATCACACAAAAAAAGTATTTTACTTACCAAATATTCAACGTTCTTTCATATTCTCCTACACACTTCAATCTATGTGGTTGGGCAATCATTTCTAAAAACAATATTAATTTCTCAAAAATATCCTGTAGGTTTATTTATAATGATATAAAATTACCAAAAGAGAAAAAGAAGGGATTCCACTAATTTCAAAATGCTTTCTACACTTCTTGAAGGCTGATCTTATAATTAACTAACACTATCACTTAGAGGGGGAAGGAAAAAAAAATTTAAATAAACTTTAAAATTATCAGGTACATTCACATTTGGCTGAAGAAAAAAACCATTTTTATAAACACCATAGAAGGCTAATTAGAATAAAACGGTAGAGTCAGATTAGAAAGGGCTTTGAGAAATCAAAATGACTGCCATAGTCTATAATCTGTGTATCTGGATAGGACATCTGAGAGTTTATCAAAAGCAAGTTGTGAGAAACAGAAAATAAAACTAGTTCTTCTGAAATAACTCTAGGAGAACAATCATGTTTGTAAGGGTATAACTG